TTCAGAATGTTGGGAAGATCAGCATTATACACCAGAAAAAGCAATGGAGAAAGAACTGCACCTTGAGGGACACCGCTTCTACCGGTATCAATTAGAGAAATGGTCTTCCACTCGAACGGTCATACCTCTATTATGTAGATATGATTTTAGTCATTTCAAAAGATTTCCATTCACTCCAAATTGCTCGAGTTTAAGCAATAGCAATGGATGATTTACTTTGTCAAATGCTGTAGATAAATCTATGTAAATGACATCGACAGATTTTCCTTTATTAAGGGTAATATTTCAGTCAAAAATAGAATCAGCAAGGTTGGTGGTAGTTGATGATCCGATCGTAAATCCATGTTGATTAGGGAATATCATGTTGAATTTCTCAAACCAGGCAAGCTGTCACGCAAAACTTTCTCCATCACTTTTACTGGTGTAGGTGTCACACTGAAGGCCGAAATGCTGAGAGGAGGTGGGCATTACTAATGCCTCCTTCCAGACTTGCGGCAGTTCTCCCAACATCATTGATATCTTGAAAATATGTGCAAGGGGCTTACAGAGTAATGAAGCGCATTTTTTGAAAACGACTTGTGGGATACCATCATACGTTTCGGTGAAAGAGGTTTTAGTTTAATCAGAATCTTCCGAATTCCAAAGGAACTGAAATAAATGGTCGATAGGCAGTGACTAAGAAGGAGATGTAGATAAAGAGAAGCCCGATTTTGAACTTCGTTCGTCGAAGGAAAAACATCAGCAAAATATCGTCCTAACGCTTGTGCTTTTTCGCTATCAATGATATAAGTATTTCCTGCTCAGTCAGTTATGCAAGATAGATGACTATTTGGTTTGAGTTTTTGATTTATATATTGGAAAAAGAATCTCGATAAGCTTCTTTTTGCCAATCTAGGTTCATAATTTGCTAAAAATCGTCTTAAGTGAAAGTCAGTACCTTCACATACTTTTTTTACATGACCTTTTCAACTGGCTTGGCACCATTAGAGCGGGGTTTTGTGATTTAATTGAGGCCGCTCGCGCCCGCGACGCACCTGCGTCTCTCTCGCGCGAGTGCTCTCTGATCATTACCTAGCCTTAATTAGGTCACGAAGCCCCGCCTTTGCCGATGCCAAGCCAGTTGAATCAAATGGTACATCGAGTTTGACAAGGAGTCCATTAGAGAATAGAATAAACGTTCTTTCTGTACAAGAAGTTTTATTATATGAGCTGGGTAGCTCCGATGCGGTTGATCTATGTATTTGAAAGCACGTATTCAGAAAATGCATTGTAGGTAGTTACACAGAATCTGTGGTACACGTCATCAATCGATTCGTATTAATCAAACAGACTCATCCAATCAATATTTTCGTAGTAGTTATTGAGAAAAATAAGGACAATCTTTCGAAAACCGGGTGCGCTTTAGCATTACGAGAGAATGACTCAAAATAAACAAAAAAAAATTGAACTATACGATGGTCGCAATTTGCAAGAGAAGGCATAGTGTGCGTGCCGGAAATCATAGGAGAGTACGAGGTCAGGAACATGGAAGCCATGTGCTGCTTCCGTTACATATTGTTCCAAACCAGAATCATGGAAGAAGTTGAATATTGCAAAATTTCTGTTGAGAGGTAGCATTTCAGACCAGTTTATCTGCAAGTTAAAATCCCGTAAAATTATTGTACTTTCTAGTTTGCTCACAAAATTACTCATAAGTGCAGTAAGATTTTTAGCACTTGCATAGGGCTATTTGGAGGTTGGTAGCTTGCATGAAAGCGCACCCAAAGAGGCTCCAATGGAACTTGCAGAAACAAAGAAAAAAATTTGGTTGAGTCCCATACAAGTTTACAGAAGAAGATTTGAGATTATAGAACCTCTAATAACTTTCACCATCATTAGCTCAATGACAACTCAGCACCAGCTCACTCCAAAGTGGTTGATTACCGAGCCAAATGCCGTATAAGCTAGCTGTTTTTGTTAAGACTGTTTGCAACGGAAATCTCCGTCATAATCACCACTTTAAACGGCAGACAGCGGTCAACACCGAAGATTAGGCGTCAATTTGAGTCAAATCTCAAGTATGGTGCATGTACGGACATTGGGACGCCTAATTTCCGGGGTTACGGTGGCCCTGGTGCTTTTGTATTCTATAATTTTGTGGGCATACCGGGCAGCAATCCATCGCATAGCGATCTTTGCTAAAGGACAAGTGTTACACGTGCGTAGGATCCCCGTCAAAATGTGCTAGCTGTCCGGCGCTACGCATCGCTGACCTTTATTGCTAGGCCATACCCATCCGAGCGAGATCGCCGCGATCGTCCCTCATCTTATCTCGCGACGCATCGCTTGGATTAGGATTCCTTTCCGAATTATTATGATGGTCTTTTACTTTTTTAAGTTAGTTTTTTTGCATAGGAAGTGCGAATGAATCCAATATTGTCACAATGCATTGATTGTATCGTTGTATCGTCACTTGTCTCACATCATCTTCTATTCGAGCTCGCAAAGTTTTTGTTATATATGGTGTGTCTGTAAGAGCGAGTAATGATTCTTCGTGACATGCTGCAATGTTTCCTTTTGAACATGCATTTACATCTTTTTGTGTATCTCCTCCTTTACAGGGACTAGTTATCCTAATTTCAGCGTAAAGGACGCGGTAGATCTTTTCCTAAAATCGAACAGCACAGACACGCCGAAGGGTTGCGCGACCAAATGACTATTTATAGTGCTGTATATTGCCTGAGAGTATCGTGCGACATAAGTCTCGTTTTCCGAAACACAACGAGGCAGCTGAGCGGCACGCTTGAAAAACCAAAATAAGTGCGTCCTAAAGTGCGGTTCATAATTATACGAACACCCCAAATTTTAGAAATTTCTGGATTATTTGGAAGAAACTTAAAAAGCCGTTGGTACCACGTGAAAGAGCACAGCCGAAAACGTTATAATATCCGCAAGAATGGAAATCCATGTCAGTCTTAGGAGTGTTTTTGCGCCTAATGCGAATTTTGAGCGGTTCATAATTATACGAACACCTCAAGCAAAGGTCTAAAAACATTCAAGATTGCAATCTTTCGAGTCCAAATTTATTGTAGAGTTACAGTCTGACATGTCTGCTACACACTGAACCCAGTGCAGCTCAAAAAGAGGATCCTTACTTTTTTCAGATGGCTCTACATGCTTTTGGAGTGATTGCGCTCCAAAAAAATTCGTTCTTCTGTAATTTACGCAATCTAATTAGCTTCTACGAAGCTAATTAGATTGCTTAAACCACAGAAGTCACTATGAGATAAAATAAGCTTTTTTGATAGATATTTTGTTTGGCGCTCGGAAAATCTTTGCATTTTCGTGGCGTTATTCAACCAAATTCCAACCTTACCTTAGACTTGGCACAATTTCGAGCGTCAAAAATTAGCTCCTGTATTGCGCAAACGTTTGATATGAAGCAGCTGCTCTGTTTGCATGATGTTGTATACGTGCATAAGTTTTTTGGGTTTTTTGCACAGCTAGTCCTAAGGCTACAGAGCTAAAAACCAAATAAAGGGGGATCGCAACAGTAAAAACAGTGGTTTTGGTGAAATGACGCTTGCGTGGCCAAAACAAACGCTCACCGCTGCTGAGTTTTTTAGCCAAATACACAGTCTTGTGAACTTCTACATACTATGTGCTTACTTCATTGTAGGATTTCAGAAGCTGAGTTTTGAGGCTCAAAATCGTGCCTACTCTAGGGTAAGGTTGAAATTTGATTGAAAAACGGCACAAAAACGCGAAGATTTTTCAAGCGTCAAACAAATTACCTATCGAAAAAGCTAATTTTATTTCATAGCTTTGGTAGAAACTAATTAGATTGCGTAAACCACAGAAGTTCGAATGTTCTTGGAGCGCAATCACTCCAAAAACATTTAGAGCCATCTGAAAAATGTAAGGATCCTCTTTTTGAGCTGCATGGATTCAGTGTGTAGCATATATGTCAGACTTTGTCGCTGTAACTCTACAATAAATTTGGACTCGAAAGGTTAAAGGATAAGGATAAAGGATTCGGCGTCTTCAATACCCTCTGAGGGCATGCGCCGAACGCACACACTAACTTCATAATCGAAGAGGCAATTGTATGCGTGCGGGCCTATTACAGTGACTTGCGGGGGCCAGCCGTTTTCAAGTCAGTGCTTTTATCCTCCCAGATTACTCTGGTACCAATTTACCAGCCCCGGAGGGTAGAGGGCTTGGTTGGCCCAGGGGCGGGGATCGAACCTGCGTCCGATCTGGTCATGGCGGCGCCTCATACCACTACGCCACTCGTCCCCCGACGCGAAAGATTGCAATCTTAAATGAAAAACGGACCTTTGTTTGAAGTGCTCGTATAATTATAAACCGCTCAAACGCATTAGGCGCAAAAACACTCCTAAAATTGACATCAATTTCCATTCTTGTGGAGCATATACCGTTTTCGGCTGTGCTCTTTCACGTGGTACCAACGGCTTTTTGAGTTTCTTCCAAAAAGCCCAGAAACCTTCAAACCTGGGGTGTTCGTATAATTATGAACCGCACTATATATGCGTGAAATTAGGGTAATAACATAGCACAACTATGGCTGCACTTGACCAAGATTCATTTACCATGACTTTATCGGATGAGGCGAACAGCCAAATTTCTCGAACGAAGAGGTGGAATTTCTGGAAACTGAGCATCGAGCAGTAAGTTTCTCGCTTGTATGAATGACGTAGAAGAATCATCCCCAATTTCTAACAGTTGGTGCGCCTTATGACTACCACGCGAAATGGTTGTAGTGCTATGTATGCAGTCGCTTTCCACTCAATCGCTCCCGCATCATACATTTGGAGACCAAGTATCACTCTTAAAAATTCGATTTCTGATTCCAAATGATTTCTTCTTCAGCTGTATACGTATCCATCGTCTAACGACAATTCGTACCAATCACATGACAATCAGGTATCAGCAAGATCCAATCCTAGTTGCAGTGATTTTTACTTATTCTCTGATTCTTTGAAATTTTTCAGTTGTATATGCAGCCATCCCCGCCTGAGTCATTTCACAATGGGACATTTGATAACCAGGTGAGATTCCGCACTACATGAGACGTAACATGAACACTATATTCAGTTGTATATGATGCCGCAACAACATTCGATGCAGCCACGTCACATGCAAAGTATTGGAAGTCAGGTATGAGCTAATACTTAAAGCATATACTTTGACTGGAGTTCTAAGTCCTCGCACAACCGTTCCAGCACCAGGAAGAGCGCTACTCGCAACATCTACAAACATTATCAGATACTCTGACTTCTGGAAACGTAAGCGATTCTAGCAATGCGGAATCGCCTACTATTCCAGGAGTCAGAGAGGTAAGTCAGAAGGGAGTACACGGAGTAATCGTTCATGAAATTTCGGGCAGCATCCAATCGTACGTGTTCATCTACAAGAACAAGAAAGCGCGGTCGGACATCGCCCGGTACATTCGTGTACATTGCAAAAAGGCAAATAAATATACGGCGTGGTATGTCTATACGAAGGTCCTTGCAAATCTTTCCGACCTTTTGCTTTCAGGTAAGCGGAGACATGTTTCTGGAAGATCCAGTTATGCTCCGCCGTACATGTATACCAGTCGAAAGAACCAAGGACAAAGCCGATAGGCTTTCCTACGAGGTGTGCAGTCTGCCTTAACAAATAAAGAACTCAAGAGTGAATTTCAGTGTCTACAGCAAGTGCGCGGGAACCTTGAAGCGACTCTGCATCCAACAATAAACCATTGGCTTACAGTTTTCGACAAAATCGAAACTATGACTTGGGGAGGTAGTGAGTATTCGCCTTCGTTCTCTGAGCATTCAGCAATCTACAGATGCCGAGAAGAGGAATGCCGTGATGGCGCATTATATGAAGAAAAATGGTTATGAAAGCAGACAACACGCTTACAATAGGTTAGATGGATTCGAGTCATTTGAAAATTACATTGCACCCAATCCCGCTGCAAACATTGTTCTAGAGCTGTCAATAGAACAGTGCGGGAAGTTACGATGACAAATGTCCCTGAGGTGCTGCGCAGCCTGCCGGATGGAAGCACGTTCCTGCAAGTGCAAGAACCAGGTCTGCATATCTATATGTCGCAGACTATTATCAGGGTCAGTTGTACACTTAGAATTTATGAAAATAGTTTTTCACGTTTCTAGCGTGCTGTTTCGCACGATCTTTTCGCGCTCGTTGGAGAGCATCCACAAGATTAACCCTCGAAGTCGACATGGAGCTGCAGTACGCGTGGACAGGGACAAGTGTATACGGTGCATGGGATTTGCCGAGGGGGATTCGAGGTGCCGCTGCTCTTTGCCGTCACAAAGAACAAACGCGAAGAAGATTACGTCATCATATTCAACAAGTTGAAAGCCGCGATGGAAGAGGCGAAAGAAGGATTGAGTCTGACGGAACCACGACTAAGAGTCGTCCTGGATTTTGGAACAGGCTACGATTAATGCCGCAAGGAGAATTTTTCCAAATGCCTCCGTGGAGGGATCGCATGGCATCTAAGCCAGGCCTGGGTGAGGAGACGGAATACCCTTGGAATTCTTCGCTTCCTGAAAGGTTCTGAAAGATGCGGAAGCGTTGTCCAATGGTGGAGGACGTTGAAAGGGCTTCCATTCCTCCCCACGGAATACTTCCACCACGTTGAAGCGATGAGGAGGCCACCCGTAGAACGGGAACATCCTGCGTACGGGCCGTGCAAGAAGTTTTTAAACTACTTGCGGAACACCTGGCTCGACGGGCCATTCAATGTGGTGCAAGTATATGGTAGATGTCCAGCGAACAACCAACACCGCCGAGAACTACCACGGGTGAGTTTGCAGCTCTTGCAATTAACTTTTTTTCATTGAAGTTTCTCATTTCAGAAGGCTCAGAAAAATTCTCGGCAAGAAACATTCACCCCTAGCGCAGTTGATACTGGCCTTCCGCAGCTTTACACTAGTGGCAAAGGGGACTTTGGCAAGAATAATTGAGGAGGAGCGAGCCCAAGATGCTTAGAAAAAAAGACAGGATAAGAAGGGAGAAGGTTGAAGGCGCCATTGCCTCATTTGCGACACTTCGTAGTGAAAATCTCCTCGATACCGTCACGGTGGAGGAGTATCTACGAAGAATGTCCAAGTATACATCGGACAAGGCAATCTAAGAGGCTGCGATGGATTTTTTGTGTTTGTTAGTGATGCTTGATGCATGTAATGTTGTGTGATACGTCAATGTGAAGCTGTTTGCATGCTAACTCGAACCTTAGAGATGTTTGGTTTAGTGTAGTGCATGCTAAGTCAGATTTAGAGTATATCAGAGTATTGCAAGCTTGCTTTATGTACAGAGATATGCATGACCAGTCTTAGTGGCGGACTTACTTAACACGCACTTGCTAATATAACTGTTATAACAGACAAGTTTTGATGATTTTGGACGGCTTTGGATGGCTTTTTGGACGAGTCTGATTTTGCAATTTGAATATTTTTGATCAATGATTTGGCATCTACTTTCGCAAATTTACCTTTTTGAAACACGACTTTTATAAGGTCTCTTTTGCGCATTTTTCTTAGTCTTCCCCCCCCCCCCCGGGTAAAATATTTATTAGAGTTAATACAAAGAATAAAGATTTTTTCACTTGAATTGTGACATTCTTCACTCATCAGATGACTGGCTTGCTTCTGCAAAGGTCAACTAATCGGCTATCGATTAGCGCAAATGCAACTGTTACAGTGAATATTGTGAAAGATTGAGAAAGTTATCTCATGAAAATAAACAATATGAAATAGGAAGTTTTCTGCGAAGCCATTCAGGATGGAGCAAAATTTAGAATGTCAAAAGAGGAGTTTATAATTTGGAATTGAGCCGGAACTCTTACCTCTCTGAAAGTTGTTTATCAAATTTCCAATCTTTGTATTTGTTCTTTTCTGTTCTCTCAACAGGACTTTGATTCATATATGTGGAATCAATAGTATCTTCGATATGGTATATTCTGTGGTTATTCCATATTCCATAAAGTACAAGACAATATGCAAGAATGCCGACGAATATCAAGAGGAAAATGAAATTACTTGCAAGATTTCATGCTTATATAGACACTTCATTGGCATTTATCATTATCACTCGAAAAGTTGATTTAACATCATTCTTCGGCGAGAGTGGTGCAAAATAAAAGAATGCTAGAATTGGATTGATGTGAAAACATACAAAAGTCCATTCAAAAGATTCGCCTTTCAAAACTGGTCACAAATTTGTTTTCCCCTTCTCTGTATCTCCACTCCAAGTCTTTTAAACTAGACTTTTCCTTCAACGAACTCCTGAGCAAAAAAGGCAAAACCCAGGCTCAGCGTGAGGGGCGGAGCTTGGAAGGTTGCCAGATCGTTCTTGGCACGCCAGCTCCTCCCTTTTCCTTCTTGGATACAGGGGTTAAGGGCTCTGGTTCCTCCTGCACCGCCGCCGCCCGAAACTGCGTAAGAATCCGAGCGCTCGTTGGATTTATGGCAGTGCTCGCTGAAAGAAATTATTTGGCGTGCGCCCGCAAAAAACTCTGTATTGCTTTTCGCTGGCAGAACATGCGACAGTAAAGGAAATACCGCCCGCTGTAGGTTTAGCCACGCCCCAAAATTCTGCTTACCGCCTGCAAAAAAGTGCCAATTCACGGACCGCCTGCCCTCGGGGATTATCTGAGCAGAAGTGATGAGAGAACAATCCTGTGTTTCTGCAAACGCGAGGGCAGTCATTATTTAAATTCATGTCAAATCATCGCAGAAACAGCCACAAGCAGAGCCCTGCTGCGTCGCTGTGATATTTGTCTAACTACGAAGCACGGAGAAGACCTGCATTGTCGCAATTACGGAGTAAAATGCTATAACTGTCGCGGCTTTGACCATAACTCCGCGATTATTGACTTGCAAGAAGAAAGTGTACACGTCGCCGAACAACTGCGAACATCACGGGAAGGATTGGAAAGGAACCGCGAAAGAAGACGCAATACTGAGCGACAATTACGCGAAGAACGTAATCAGTGGAAACTTTCATTACGCACAGAAAAGTTTGGTTAGTTACGCTTGCACGTATCGCATTACGCTTTTTGAATACTACTCATACGCCACCGTGACGCCGGCGGGAATATCGCAGAGCGATCTCAAAAATTTAAGAATGTATCATTCATTCTCTGACTAGAAGACCCTAGCACGCTTTGCGTACATTTCATTAACAGTTCATGAATAAGTTTTGACGCGGTTTGGTTGGTTCACTATCAAAATTAGTAGAAGAACATGTTTGAGCTCTTCAAACCACCTGGCTTAAACACGTCCTTTCACGAATTCCTAATAGTAATGACCAAAACACATTAGTCATTTATGCACTTGTTGATCAAACGTGCGCAATGCGTGCTCGCGTCTCCTAGTCAGAGAATGAATGATAAGCAATCGCGCGGAGCATGAGAAAGCATGCGGCTTGACCACAGTCGCAGTAGATGTGACAAGAAGAAACAATAGTTCAAGAAGGGCATGAGCGAGCCTCGGCGTGTTGCTTCTCCACGCTTCTGCGTTCACCAGCTCCGCGTCGTTCGCTTGGATTCCTACACGTCAACGGCATCATATTCGGTATTGTTACTATTCAGTTGTATCTATTTATCTTCGTGTTTTTTTTTGAATGAAGTGATTAGCCGTTGGTCAGTGTCATCCAACATGCTGCTTCCCTTCTACAATGTTCCTCATGGCAAAGTCATGTATATCTGCCCCCACCCTTATCCCCTAGTTCCCCGTCGTGCCACTTTGGACCCAAAGTTCGAGCGCGGCGTGCGCCGCGCACCTCCTGAAATGCAGCCGTTTATGCCCGCTCAACTAATATTGCTCTGCGCCTTTGTTATGGAGTAGCTTTTAGACGGACGCACGCGTCAGAAATAAGAGTTACTAGAGGTCATTTATAAAATCGTGACGACGGATATGACTGCGGACTTTACGCCCGCAGGAGCATAAAATGCTCATACCAGAATACGTCACCTCAACGCTTAGCTCAGTCGATTCCAGTGTCTATGTACTATTACAGTTGAAACGAACGAAAAATGTCGTCGAACGAACGAATATCGAATAATCGGATTATTCGAATAATGCTACATTTCAAACGAATGAACGACTATTCGAATAAATGGGGTAGGTCGAATATTCGACTATTCGAACAATTGAATAATTACATATGGTCGAATATTCGACTACTCAAATATTCGAGTAATCTAGTGGCTCAAACATTGCTGGTTTATTCTTTGTTGCAGTTTTCTGCAGAAAATCAATCACTACATTTAACCCATTAACGACAACGCCTAGTTTTGCGTGCGGCGCTGTGGTACGACGCGATTTTGCACAACAATTACGGCGCGGGAAAGTTTTATGATTGTTTACGAAATGTAAAAATATTTTGTAAACAACTACAGCCATCTTCTTGGACGACGAAGCCTACAGATTCCAATAGTGCAATAAACTGAAAAAAAAATGCTGAACTCTGGAAAAAATACTAGACCTGGAAAAGATATGATTTTAAAGGGGCGTGGGCCACCGGTGGTCCGCATCGTCGTCAATGGGTTAATCTAGATTTGTAGCTGATAACTATATGCGTAGCAAGTGGTAAGGATAACTGGGTTATTGTCGCTTGGTCAGGGCTCTACCTAGGGAACAGAAAAGTTCTACTCAAACACGTAGGTCAAGGTGTTCATTGTCCTTTAAGGCCCCGGACAGACTTCACGCGATTTGATCGTAGCGACTGAATCGCGACGAGACAACTGTTACAACATCATTCCATGCCGATCAACTTGCATTTCGGTTGTGATACTTTTCCAGCCCGAAATTTTTGAATGTGAAATGAAAATGAATGGAAATGTCGGCGACTGAATCGCGACGTCGTCAAATCGCGTGAAGTCTGGCCGGGGCCTAAGACGGCTACTAAGCCTTACTTAGCAATCATTTCAAGTCCGCACATTCATTCTTTCTCAAAGTTTCTCCCCTCAGACACTGGGAGCAAGCCACGGTCGCCTTTAAGGTTCGCCCGCGGCCTTAATTTGGGGGCGTGGCCGGAATGCGGCCGACCCGCGGCCCTTCGTTCTTGTCATTATTATTGCACCGGCCGAGCCACGGGAGGAAATGGGCTCGCCGTTACAGACGCGGCCCTTAAGGATGCAGCGGAGCATTGCAGCGGCTGAGCCGCTGACCATTTGTGGTAAGAAATTCCTTCCGAGCCACGCCTATGTCAAATGAAGGCCGCGGCTCGGCCGCTCCTAGTGTCTTAGCGTAAAGGATACTTGCGTGATGTACGACGCATGATCAGGCTCCTCTCAATGCTCAGTCTTGGCTGTGTTTTCAGTCTCTCAGGCGGGAACAAGATCAATATGTTGTCTTGTAAACAACTTTGGATAGCATCTGGTGTTATCCACTTTTGTAGTAGGACTTGGCTGCCGAATCTGCTATATCAGTTGCTTCAACTTTTTACTGTAAAAAACAGTACTACTGGTGTATCTGTGTGCGGTTTGGGCCACTAATTTTACATGATTTAGTGACAATGGGGAGCACTATAAATGGTGGGCTGAGGCCCAATTAGGCCGAGCTGAAATGAACTACGGCCGACCCAACAACCAGCTGCGGCTGAGCCGAGGACCACTCTCCGGCCGGGCCGCGGAAGCTACTAAACTTCAGCCGGAAAAGGGCCGCGGCACGTCCGCTCCCAGTGTCTGAGCCGATGCTACACAGAACTTTCTCCCAAAACTACAGATTCAAAATGGAAAACCTTTTGGAATAGGTAGTCATTTGTAATTGAATCGTTATCGTCAGCACTGCGTGAGTTCTAAGATTAACACTGGGAGAGCACTAGAAGGTCTTACAGTAATAGAATCAGTGAACCTCTACAGCAGAGGTGCGCACTGTTGTCCACATAATACTTTTGTGCTTATCTAAATCCAGAAAAAGAAAAGTCATGGAAATTTTGTATATTAGCTGCTAATCTATTACTTGTTGGAAATTATTAGTCGCCGAGTTTCACACTTTCTATTGTAGGATTGAATTTTCACAAAATTGTTTTAGCTGTATTTTTGAGGTTTGGACTTTTGTTGTAAGGGATCTTTCACATCTTTTACTCAGGTTAAAAATAATTTTTGTTCAACCTACACGCCTACTCAAAGTATTCCTCTATGAACTTTGCAACATTTTAACACTAGTTTTTACGCCTCCTTACTATAAAGGCAGCCGTTTTGATTACGGTGACTGACATACAGGCTGCCGCCACAAGTCAAGCGGCGTCCTCGCGACCGCCTTGCTCTGGCCTTGCGCTGGTTGACGTATTTTTTAGGTATTTTGACATGCGGGCAGTGATTAGGCTGGCAAGGCAAGTGGAGATCTCTGGATGAAGGAATGAATATTGCCAATTCGTGCTGCCTTAAAGGGCTGCTGATCCTTCACATGCTTATGCAAGCTGTTTGAGGACCAGTGGTCCGCTAAAGCGGCGCCTAATGACGGCTTTGCTTCTTCACCCAATTTGATCTTGAAGGTATTTGCGCATGATATCGCATCTCAACTACTGCAAACGCGAGTTCCAAGAGATAGTTCACCACTCCAAATAAATAATGCATAAACTTGTCATCACTATGCTCTGGCATGACTCGCGATTGCCTCAAAAGGGAACCTTTCTAGCCATTCTGTCATATGATCATTCACTTGTACGACGGAGTTGTCGGGGACATACCTGCACTCCATGTAGAACAGATGACTTTTTTCTGACAATGTTTGAATGAAAGATCTTCAATGCTCGAATATTCGGATAATCGTTTTTTAGGTTGGCTCAAATACTCGAATAACTGTTTCTTAAAACTCTCCGAATGAACGAATATACCAAACCCGCCAGCATTTAGATACAGGAGATCTGGTAAGGGGCAAACGTTGAAGGGCTCGTTAGCCGTGGAGCGCGCCCGCGCAAACCGTTTGCCATAACAAGCAGCCAGCTGATGAGGCCCCAGTCTTCACATGTTTTTGTTCTCTAACATCGCTTTTGATGATCAATAAAGTTTTTCGTCATTTTAGGCCAAAATGGTGCGTGATGACTTCTGTGCGCATCCGTTAAGTCAAACTGTAATTGTAAACTGTAATCACATGCAATCTGTCTTGATACCGAATATGATTTTTCTCGCAGCATAGGAAGGAGGTAATAAATCCTTGAGCGTTTTTCCTCATGACATCTTTCATCTCATCCAGGCCTTCTAATGGCTGATTCCGGATGTCATGCTTTATCACATCGACTCGTGTTTCAGCGGACATAATCGTATATCGTTCAGGTTCGAGTGAAACAGTTTGTCAAACTGTTTTCTCAACCTGTACGACATACGATATACGATTATCTTTATCTTTATCTTTACCTTAATTTCATACATGTAAACATGTGCCAAAGCCTGTGTGAGTAAAGAAACATTACTAGAGTAAGAGACTAGCCTGTCACCTTTCAACAGAACAAACAAACAGCGAAAGGGCCTCAAGTGTTGAGGAAGAAAAATTTCTATTTGGTCAAGGAAGGTCAGGTGATTGGCATTGGGGAATGCCACTGCCACATTTCTGGGCTGTCCAAAACGTCTGCGATTGGTTCCTGCCAGATATCCACTAACATGACACCAACGCTTGGATACACCTGCCTATTATACCTCACATATTCACCTTTAGCCGTAAGGAGGAAGAGCACCAGCCAGGCGTTCTCAGAATTCTCAAATGAAATGATTTAATTACATCTTCCTCTGTATAACAAACCTCCATCTGGTCTTCCTTTCTCGCAGTAATTTTTGAGAGATTTCCGGACAGGGCCCGGCACGCTTGATTTGAAGCATTTTTTTAAACGAAGTTCTCAATGATTTCGCGAAGATTTACGAAGTCCCTTTTGACGAAGAAGTCAGTAGGAAAACCCTTATTTACTTATTCAATCAGGATAATAATAAAAAAAGAAAAAAGTGCCTTTTGAAACCTAGTACAACAAAAAAGTAAAAAACCATCTGGAGTTGATTGAAGGTTCCGTCATTGAGTATAGTACCATTTTAGCGTTCAGGATGTTGAAAACCTCTTACAAGGAAACGATACTTGGTGTCCGTGGCCTTTTGAGAAGAGATGTGTACATGGCGACCATTGCACTCGTCTTGGAGCGCTGATTCCGAATCTGACTTCCGTTTCTGCTAATCATTTTTCTAAAAGGTTATGAAGGAGTTTCGCGTCAATGGTCGCCCAAGAAAAATACGGCCGAGGATGCCTAACTTTCAAATGAAGCTTGATTGAAGTAATGCAAAACTGAAAAACACAAAAGGACTCGAACCTAAACAACCAGCATTAACTTGCAAGCAAGGTCAAGGTGCTGATGCGATCCGAGACCCTCATTTACGACCTTCCCCTCCTAGACTATGGTTTTGGAAATTAGAACGTTTTAGACCATAATGACAGTCCCGTGTTTTATCCCCGTATGCGATGATATTCTTTTGCGGGGAAAACGATATCTTTGAAGCGTAAGAATTGCTTTCGACTACAAAGCTTACTCTCTATATATTGCACAGATTCTCCTGCAAAGAAACCGTTTTAGTTCTTTCCAGAACGATGTCAAAAACGTGCTTGAGCACTTCAAAAATTCGTAACTAAAACAGGAAAAAAATTGGAGGCAGCGGTTCGGCAGAATAGACCTACCTCAGAATTTGACATAGATGGATAGGAGGCCCTCCAAGCAGGGCCGGGCACGAGTCGGTTTCTAGAGTTTCTGAAAACGAAGTCTCCCCTGACTTTTGGAAGTTTTACGGAGTCCCCTTTGAACCTACCTGTTCAAGAGAAGATGAAAACAAGAAAGATTTACTAGTCTGAAAGAAAAAAGTAAGATAAGAGTAAAAATCCAAATTGTAGCTGAATACTACGCATGCACAAGACTTTGACATCAGAGCGCGATATTTAACAAAGCGAGAAGAAATGAGGAAAACAAAGGAAAGGCAGTGTATGAAAATGTCTTCATGCTCAGGGATAGATTTTTTACCGAGGAATCCATCCATGCTAAAAAGATCCGGAGCTTATGTGAAGTGACGAAAATATATGCTCCAGACGATCTCAGATCGTCTGGTGGCTGTCTGGAGACGATCTAATTTTGGAAAAGGTATTACTTCACACAAGTTTTCAAATCTTTTTACACAATACTTCCGCAAATAATTTTCTATACATACAGTTCAATTTTGGTGTCATATACTTATGTGTGCGCTGTAAACAAGCAATTTGTTTATTTAAGCCTTGCTTTCAAATCGCGCGCACTTCTCGCCATACACGGTAGAGCATGCCAATCGTGTGATAATCTGTACGAAGAACTTGTGTTCGACTAGATGGCCCTTATTCTTGGTGCTCGGTTCCGACTCGTCAAAATCGATATCCCCTTTGCTGTTTGCTTTGAAAACGAAGTCCAGCCTGCTTCCAGGCGGTCTGTGCCGGGCCCTACCTCCAAGTGAACCAATAGAGCAACTCCGGGCCGAAAATGTGAATTCTGCAAGCCACGGGGGCGAGCCAAGCTCCGCTCCCCTTCCTCCTTTCGCTCCCCTAACACCGTGTGCGTGTCGCGGATTCGCGACTTCCTTCAAAGGTTGCCGCCGCCGCGCTGCGAAGGGGTCCCAAATCGCCGTCCTCGCGCTGTCCCGCCTCGTTTAAATAAGTCACGTAGTCATTCTTCGCTGCTGTCGCCATCGTGAGCGGTCGGGTTCCAATTCGTCTCATGCCATCGATTGATCCAGCGCCATCCCAACTCACGCGTCACTTCCACCTACGCCACGGAGGACTGGCTCCCGCGCTACGAGGTAACCCCGAGCGCGCTCGCGCCTGGCACACGCCGGCGACACGCCTCGGGGGGTTTCCGATATTGCCGGCCCTTAGGTTTAACATCTGACTGGTTGTGCTCCACCTGTATGTTTGAGTATAGGGATAACTTGCGAATAAATGGTGGGCATTTTACAGTGTGTGATTTGTGTGGAGCGCTGGGCCACAGCTCGGCTGTGGCTCCGAAAATATCTCATGTCATTATGGTCATTGTGTATTTATAATCTTGCCTAGCGTAATCCATCTAGCAAAAGGCTGGCACAATACTAGTTACGTGCCTTGGTTATAATTACCGTGCCCCAACTGTCAGTAGTTGGGAGGATGAACGAATCGCAGGTGTCGAGTAGCTGCTAAGTAGACTGATTTCAAGGGCGCCTACGTGTATATGGAGTACCCATGTGGCAGGCACAAGTAGCGTTCACATAGGTAGCCACCTTACATGATACGTTTCACTCTATCACGGAGCGGACCCCTGGCTCCCCTCGCCGATGCAGGAGAGCCGTAACACCACTGACGTTGGGAGCTGGGGGCCCAATCCGTGACAGTGCGGATGAGTATGCTCAGACACTCGCGCCGGCCGGCGGCCGTTCCATCATTTTGGGCGAAGCCAAACTCCGGCCGGCCACCGGACGAGTAAATCATGCCGGCCGGCGGCCGTTCCACTGTGCAAAAGCTCGGAAAGCGCACAAGATTGCGCGAACAGTAAGAAAGTAATTTCAAACATCGGGCGCTTGTGTCTTCTAAGCAAAGACTTTTCTTTATTGATTTCCCTTTGTTATTGTTGGGGTGTTCCACTTCGCTGCGTCGCTTTCTATGTCCGATTGATACTTGTTGTAGCCCATTATTATGATTCCGCTCATTCCATTCTCTTTTCAGATTTGATCAAATTCCATGGTGTTCGTTATCTCTTCTTTCTATATTTCTGCTTATTTTGACTTAAATGGCGAAAAAGCCGAACATCAGTGAGTTTATGCCTGTTTGATGTGACGTGATTTCTATGTGCCGCATCACCTTTTAGGTACGAATTAAAGAAGTACAAACTAGACACAAGTTTTTCAGGAGACATCTGCAATATGCATGGTGGCTCTGTTCTCGTTTTTCTGATGGAACTACAGCGAATGGTTGACTGCTGTCGGATCAACACTGTTATTCGTGAAAACGACTATGGTTTTTTAAGAATACTCCTTCATATACAGTGACCGCCAAAAAGTTGCGGACAAGCCGCCTTCCTTTTTTCATCGCCCATTTTCTGATGGAAAACAAAAATGAAAAAAATGTTTGGATTGCATGAGTTGATAGAGCTCTTCAAGAGCTATAACCCACACATTGTGCTTTCTGGAAAACATGCATTTTAAAAATTTTAATAATCTTTTTCTAAGAAGAGTCCGAAAATGGCCGCGTCACAACGTCGCGGACAATAATTCTTCAAACGCGAAAATTTCCTTTTGGGTCCTATTTTTAAATGGAAACACAAGTAATCCGAACAGGTAAGCATACTACATTATATAGCTCATCGGGGACAATAATCAGGTAGTGGTTATTTCCAAAAAAAACCAAACTTAAATTTTATTTTGCTTTTTTTCAAAAAATAACTTCTAATTCCCTTTTTAGCCAAATTTCTTCACATGTAAACCTATTCAAGACATCCTAACAAAGCTGTTCGACTAAAATGGATGCCTCTGCCATCCTGTATGCATCAGACGTGTGTTGGTGAGTTTCTTTGCTGAAAATGGCTCTTGACAGTGCGTGCACATAGCCCCACCTGCACCTCACCACTGAATTGCACCGCTTTGCAGGCTTTTAGCTCGGCCGGCAGTCATTCTACGCGCCTGCGTTTAGGCTCATTCAAAAGAATCGTGATTTCCTTGACACGATGGTGTAAAAATGAGTTCAGTTTGGGAAGTCCCGGAGATTTTACAATGGGGTAAAAAAAGCGCAGCTGGTAGGCTACGGATTTCTCAGAAAGTTGAACAGAGTTCCTTCCGCTACCAGTCCCATCCTAGAAATTTGAAACTGTCAATTTTCTTGTGATAGATCCATTTCGAAGGGGGGGGGGGGCGGGCGTTAGGTACCCAGCCATTAGTGGTATACACTAAGCCACGCCCCTTGGTTGCGTTAGCAGCGGGTACCTAACGATACACCGAATCCCAGCTGCTAGAACACCGCAGTTCATCAGATCGTTTGCGACCCACAGAAAAAAGACAGTCCAATAAATTCAAAGAATTTCGCGAATGGAAGCACAAGTTGTACACATCGTTCTAATCCTTCTTTCTTAATCGATTTTAGAATCAGATAAATAAGATTTGAATTAAACTTGCATGTTAAAGTTTAAAAAAGGCTAAATCTTTTATAAGCACTTCATATAGTTCTGCAATAAATTGATTTAATCTGATCGAAAAAATAATGTCAACGGAACAAGAATGTAAATTCTGCACTATTCCAGAAAACCAAAATCTCAATGTAGCAAAGCGCATTATCGGAGATGTTCCTTTAGTAAGTTGCACGGAATATTTCTTGCCTCAAACTGCTTCAAATATATTTAATGAAACTTAAAGATTGAAGAAGTTTCGAAAAAAAACCTGCTTCCAGGCAGTCGGAACTTTATGGAGAAGTATGTGACCCATTAGTCTGCTAGGGCATTAGCTGTGTTTCAACCGAAACCAAAGAGTCAAGTCCCGAGTTTCGGATGATTGTGTGCCGTTAGTATGAAACAGCGAAAAACAAAAAACCAATGAGTGTAATCACTGTCCAAATCTTGTTTTTCGGAGAGTTACATAAGCTTCATAGTTCTGAATGTGCAAACTGAATATCATATTTTGGTTGCGATAGAAAATGAATATGAAATTCGCAATGTGAAATCTAAAAGCTGTAGAGAGAACAGATGCATGATAGAATGTAGCAAATCCATGAAAGCTTCACACAGCATTTGAAATCTTCCGAAGTGAAAAAACATGTGTACTTACCAATCAGAACTATCTCAATAAATCCGTTTTCCTTAGTAATGACCGAAGCAAATAGCCTTAGTAATCTACCATATAAGTAGTACACGTTCCCTGCAGCAACATTAACACAGAAGGGTTACGTCCCTTAATCTCACATCACCAAACGTTAGAGTAGTTATTTTCACACTTGAGTTGTAACAGACATATACATGTATATGTAAATTTTCAAAGAACAAATCTGCTTGTTTGTTGCTCGCTATGGTTATTTTATCAATGAAATGTTGTCAAATCGGTGATTCTGGGCTAGTGGGTCAGTAGTTACCAGCATTATTACTCAAAAATGAGGAGAATATCTTGATTTTTTGGCTCTTTTACTCACTTCAAATGGTAAGCAGCAAGCGCCAACGCTTTAGCGAGCTAGGTGAACTGTTCTGGCAGCTAGGATTCGGTGTAATGTTAGGTACCTGCGGTTGAAGCGACTACTCAGATAATCGCCGGGGGCAGGCGGTCCGCAAACTCGCGCTTTTCTGCAAGCGGTCAGCAGGATTTTGGGGCGTGGCCAAACCTTCAGCGAGCGGTACTTCCTTTACTGTTTAATGTTCTGCCAGCGGGCAGCAACACAGAATTTTCTGCAAGCGCTCGTCAAATAATGTCTTCCAGCGAGCGCTGGTCAAATTTTCAGCTGGCGCTCGGACGGTTTTTAAGCGGTTTCGGGCGTACGCTGAACAAAGGTGAGACTCTGCATGGCAGAGGTGTCATCGATGGTTTAATTACTCAAGTTTAAGGTACTTTCTCTCAGCGAAGAGTACCTGGGGGCTGCGCGGTCCTCCACAAAGGACCGTGCGGCCCTCGAAATTTTTGCATATTCTCGCGGGAAGTCCGCGAGAATGCGGCCACTGCGCTGCAGCTAATCTATAAGGAAACCGCGATTGTTCTTTAAGCATTCGTCTAAAATTTCGCTGAAATTCTTCCAAATATCTGCAGGCGGACCGCAAGAAATCAGCAAACTATTCTTCCGGTGCCCGCCCGCCCATAAATCGCATTGCCGCCTGCCCCCGGCGATTATCTG